ACGCAAGCTAAATGACAGACCGTCGCGAAGACGAAAAGCACCAAGCGAGAGAAAGAGAGTGAATCGAATGAGACAGATGATTGTTTAGATGCTAGGATCCAGCTATAGAAGTGGTGGCCTTTTTAGCTCATTTAACCATCAGCAAACACCCATAACGCACTGACATGTTGTGCTCTTGCTACGAAAGTAAAAATTTGTCCTAGCTGTTGCCTAGGTTTCGTGCTATGCTAATAAAATCGCGATGCCGTTTTGCGGCATCGTATCGGGCTAGATGCGGTCGCACGTCGTCTAACGTTAAACGTTAGTATTAAACCTTAGCATGGCAATCGCTAGCAGGATGGGTATATGAGCATGACGAAATCGCCTTGAGCTTGCTGAAAGCCCGGCAAGGACGCACATATGTAAACATATGAAACGGGTAGAAGTCGATACTTCTATTATATATAGACAAAAGTGCAGTGGAACACTCACGTAATAATGATATGGAAAGAGTTGACATCCGCCATACGAACTTAGCCATTAGCACCAGCATTGTCAAGAGCAAGGCGTTCAACAAGCTGCGATAGTGGTTGTTTGCAAGACTATATGACCACCTGCATCATACACGTACTGCCAAAAATTGCGGTTGAACAGTTAAGAAAAACCGCTATCGATAAGAACTTTTCAAACGTATCGACTTAGCAGCTATCAGCTACATTCACGTTATTTAGAGCGCACAATTTTCTGAAACATCGAACAGGATCCAAATATCATACATCCACAACTGAATAAACGAGCAAAATATCAAGAGATCCCTGTAAATTTAGGTGCAAAGGGCCTAAATCAATTTTGGCTAAAATAAAAAAAAAATTAATTTTTGACTTTTAGGTACATGCATTTTATCGACATATTTAATCGTTTCACGATGAAATCTTTAAGGATAAGTATAGTCAATCAACCTAATTATCAACCTGATAAAGTAATATTTTCAGTTAACTTATTATAAATTATTCTAAACGATGGACTTCTTGTAGTAAACCTAAACCGAATTGCTCTATTTTTCCATAGTATTTGTTTGTAGGTTATAACTTACTAGGCGTTTATAGTGTAATTCTTAAAGAGAAACCATTAGCAGAACTTTTCCATCCAGCTATCACCGATCACTTCGCATTTTCTGCTGCTTCTGCCTTCATTCTCAATGCTATTATTCTTTGGAGTTATAAGGATTGACCCAACACCTGGCACAGCCAACACCTGGGATGTATCGTAGGACAGAAAATGTAGAGTAGGTGCTATATGCTCATATTGGCTTATGGCTGAAAGTGTAGAATTTGAACATCGTGGAGAATACACAGCCCTATTTTAATAATAATAATTTTTTTTGAAGCTTTGAAGAGTCGCATGGTTTGCTAGAATTCACTTACCTTTTAGCAAACCTCTCCTTTATTTTTATATGGAAAAATATCTAACATGATTTTTGTTTTTGATCGCTCAGTATATATTTCATAATTGAGCGTCCTGCATATCCCGCAGATGTAACGACAGCGATACTTTCCTACACACTCGCATACAATGACGTATCTAAATCGCCTCTATATAATACAAGTAAAAAAGAAGATGTGTAGCGTTCTAAAAATTACTTCATTTTTATATTTACCTTTATTCTTCATGAATATTGAAATTACATCTGCTGCTTTGTCGTATTTGCCCCATAGTTCATTTTTATGTATTGTGACCTGTATTCCACTCCCAGTATGTGAAAGTCAGATATGCAATCTAGATGAAATGCCTGTGCAGGCAAAAATAGTACCACAATCATAAACATGCTTGTTTAAGAGTAAGGAGCTACACAGGATTCGTGCGCATGTGTCAGTACGATCAGGCAGAATCAACCCCTAGCGACTTCCTGAATGTGTAAAAGTTTTCCGGTGAGACGATAACAGCACTCCTGGTGTTGGCTCATAATAATAAGTATAAAATTATTTATAGTTGTCAGCATTATCGTCGCTATGTGCATTTGTGTGTGCTTGTGTGCATGCATGTTAGTAAGAGGATATCGATGAGGGCAGCATTGCTATAGTGTTTTTACACTGTTGTTTGCTCACTTAGTTAGACGAGCGTTCCGATGGTGGAACGGAAATCTCCAAGTTGAAGTCAATTTCATCTCAGCGTTTCGTCAGCGTTAACGCCGGCGCGGTAGTGGCTTAATTGAAACGGAATCAACGGACAGTTACTACAAAAGTACAGAACGTTTGATATAGGATCACAGGATATGATAGCGAAATATCTGAATTAAAGTAATTTGACAATCGAAGTAAGTTATTTAAATATAGCAAAGTAAGTATAGTGCACACTAATGGAATAATACCACAAAATGATTTGAACTGTTTAGTCATTTACTAAAATAAATCGTTGGATAAAATAAATTGAAGAGGTGCCTCGGAAAAATTATGATGGGACAGATGTAACGAAAACAGTGCAATGTAGGACGATAAAGTTATATAACCAATTTAAGTTCAGAACCCAAGTACACGTCGCCGTGAGAGTGGACATAGCCTAGCGTAGATACGAAATGTGCATAGCACCCAGTTTTTATTAATTAAAGGCGGACTAAGTACGAGAAAAGGAAAAAAATGAATACGTCTGGGTATTTATACGTAAAGACGGCAGTTACTCTGCATGCAAGCTGTTGTCCGTTACCACGTAGGTCGAATGGTGACAGGTAGTTACCCTTTTGAACTATTTGAGACCTGCAAGCGGTTCTCGCCATTAACCGCTGTGGACATAGATGTATCAGCTTGGTCACCGAGAACGTTTCAAGCATCCTTTGGTCCGTGTCAGCGCTCGCCTTGATTAAAAAACTCGTCCTATTGCATTGCCCACTGTTATAGTCGACAACGACGTCGCCTCGTGCGAAGGGCGGCTTAAGCGTCAGTGAAAGTGATGACTGATGTTATCTTACTGTTTGATTATTTTGCACTCACTCAATAACAGCAGCATCAGTAGCTACAGCTGCGTATCTCTTTACTGCGTTCTTCGTTTTCTTGGAACCGCCTCTCTTCTTCTTCTTCTTCTTCTTACGGCTGTCGAACTATTCTCGTCTATTCTAGTTGCTAACCCCAGTTCTACTACTACCGCTGCTTGATGCCTTGCTGTTGTGGGGGCTATAGGCACTTTTCATCTTTGACGATGCAGTTAGCAACTAACCGAGTGGCTTATAGGCTGGTCATTCACTTATCTTATGCTTAACGGCTATAGTAGCATTCTGCTAATAGTATCGGGAGAACTCTACATATGATAATAGATTCCTGTATGAAATAGTTTCGCGGGTCAGTTCTGGTCAGCGACGGCTGCCACTCGTCGCCGTGAACGGGTGGTGACGTGAGCAGCTTAGGTATAGTTTGAGCTGAGGGGCCCAATGCAGACGAGCCGATGGACGTCGCGTCGGAGCCTGTGTCTTCTGCTTGTCTCACTGGTCAAGAGTGGCGTTGTGAATGAGTTTTGTTGTTTCGCTAGTAGTAGTTTTAGAAGCAATAACCACACTCGTAGTAGAAGTGGCCGGTGCTGTTTTTTGCATGGTGCCATGCCCGGTGGTAACGGCTGTAATCACTGATTGACCCATTATCTTTCTATGAAAAATCTTACTTAGACCGTACCATAATCTGAACGATGATGTGACGACGACTTAGCGGATATAATCTACGGGATAAGACGACCCGTGGATAGCTCCGTCGTTTTAGTGTGTGCAGTTCAGATTTAGCTGTTTGCGAAGTTGCAGACACCGATAACCTCGCTGTCATGCGTTATAATACTACGCGTCTAGTATGAGACCAGGCAAAGTCGGCGGGACACGTTGAGATTAAAAGTAGTTCAATGAACATCGTGTACCTGTACACATTGCTGTTCGCGATACACCTGAACAGGAAGGCCGCGGGGCTGGTGTCGTGGCTTTACGCACTCCTCACAGGAAAACTGTGCCCGCGAAGGGGGCACTCACTTGCCTTCATAATGCACGTCGGCATTACGGAATTACTTACAGAGTCCCGTTGCGCCGGGCACTCCCTTACAGCAAAACAACTGTCGTTTCGACTGCATAGTTGCTAAGCAGCCAGTCGGATAGGCGTCCGAGACCGACATTTTTTATTTATTGAAACCAGTAAGATTTTAGTAAGAAGCCAGTATCATAAGCGAGAACGACTCTAATTAAACTAGTTTAGAGGTGGTTGCTCTAATCCTAGTAAGCGACAACTTATTATCTGTACAGCACAGCTGTACACGGCAGATAAAGCAGCGGTAAGTGCGTGTTGGATGATTATTCAGCGAGGCCTTCACTTAACTGCGTTGTTCATGAAATCAATGAACTCCGTGTGAATCTCACAACCTCGCGCGCCTTGCTACTTGAAGGCCGAGATCGGTCGATTAAATTCAAAAAAAGTTCAAGTCCTTCTGTGACGAAGAATATTGCTGTTTCAGTCATTTTAACATGGGTAAACTGCCAAAGTTAATAGAACGAATCTACAAAAATCGATCGACCCACAATAACAGTTCAGGTTAAAAAATTCGAATGCTAACTGTGCCGTGTCGTGTATATTTGGTTGGCTGGCGATCTAAATTGGAAATTTGAAGAACACGCTTCATCTGTACCACTGAACAATTTGCGTAGAGATCATTTTACTTCGACGCTGATTTGTTGCAATGTCACAAAAAGATTAATTTGAAAGAACAAGTAGATAGTCACTGAATAAAAAAGCCTATTAACTAGGCGATTTTACTTGTTAACAGGTCCATCCCGGCTGTTCTCTAATACACTTGCATTTCCTCTGGCCAAATCACCGATTCGGTTCGAACAAACGGATTGTATTATTTGAACTCCAAATAGGACACTAACGTTGTTGAATAGAAACTAAGCCTGTAGAAAATTTATGACCTAAATAAGTATAAACTTTCATCAAATCTATTTAAGCTCAAAAATAATGGATGACCTTGGTAAACGTTCGGGGGGCGTCCCCTTTACATTTCAGATAGCAAATCCATTATCGACCGTTCATTCATACAATGTACGCGTAATAGGCTCTCTTAAAGATCGAGACGGACTATTGACATTGATGTAACAGCGAATGGCCCGACAAAACAGCGTGGTGCGGTCTTTTGTGAAGCGCCAACTGTCCTATTCAATCATCAGCCGGCTATTCGTTATCCGTAAACTGTGAGCTACGAAGCAAAAAACCAGAAATCCTCTAACGCTACAGGAAGAATTAACAAATCAATAGTGAGTATCGTGAAAGTAAATATTTAACTAGCTAATCTAATCATGATCCTCTACATGTGACAAAGCGATTATCAAAATCAAATGCCGGGTGCGGTACAAACCGCTTGCTAAAGTAGATTTGATCATCAATTGATTGATTAGAGAATAAAGACCGATATAAAATATAGGTCTATAGAGGCACGAGCTGACTTGAACCTGGAGCTTTTAACGAACCCAAATTACTAAGGGACGATCTAATTCAAAGCTGAACTAACTTACGATCGTATATTGATAATTACCAATTGTCGAACCGACAAAATAATATCTTTCTGCAAACCCTAATATATCGACATCGCAAATTAATAACGTCACTTCTGTTATATTATGCGATATTCAACTCCTCAGGTCAGTTGCTGAGCGATATACGCTAGCCTTTCGAGTTTACGAAGTAAACCATTTGAGGACGCCACCTACTCCATCCACCGCGCACCCTCTCCCATTCGCCCCCCCATTGAGAAAGGGTAGTACAGGCTCCCGAAGTCTCAAGCAGAGAAAGAGCGAGCTGTGCCTTCCAGATGAACTCTAGCGTAGCTAAGCTGTAAACGCCCGCTTGGTATGCTGCGACAAGCGGCGAGCAGGCTCCCGGCCCAGGAGCAGCTTTTAGCTAGCCAAGAGCCAGAGATAGTCAAAATAAAGCAACGCGTCAGGTAAAGTGCCAGTTGTTTTGTTGTTCCTGGCCGTATTCGTTGCTAATTCTCTGCCCGTAGGCTAGTCATCGAGTCCAGCAGAGCTCCCCGGGCCGATGACCCATCCAGCAGTGATAAAATGCTGTTGTTATTTGAGGCGTCGCACTGCTCTGAGCGGCTCTCTTATTAGGCTACTCAAAATAACTACTAGGATGCTGTCGACTATCAGGAATAGGATCATAGCTCAACAAAAGGCTTACCGGAAATCGCCGACAATTTGCCAACTAAGTTAACAGAGACGGTTACAGCTACACTATGCCTTCCGTATACCCCACAGCGCATTCTACGTATCTGTACCGACAGCCACAGTTGTCGTTTCTTCGTTCCGATCACAGTGACAAGAACTGTGGTGGGTATCGTAGGGAAAACCCCAGCGAACGAACGCTCTACCAAAAGCAGAAGCTATTTAGTCTCGTCAAAATAGGTTGTGCCGAAAGCGACAGGCAAACGCGACAGCAGCGACAACGACAACTGGTACAAGTGCAGCCCAAAAAACGGCCGTAAAATAGTGTCACGCGTGTATTCTTCTGCGTCAGAATGACAAACCTATCTAACAACTATTTGTTGCAACAGAGTTCACAGGAATACGCAGGTGTGTCTGTGTACAAGACGCCAATAATATGATTACCGCTAATACAATCATAACAAGTGCCGCTCATGTGATCTTACATTACTGAATATCCATCACCACTGCTGCCTTATCGCCAACTGAGTAAAGCGGGTGGCGCGCCCCATTGGAAAAAAGGTTCACTTTGTACGGCGACAGTGTCGCTCTAATGATAACGCGCTGTAGGATTTTGTAATGTCCACACTTTTATACGGAATGACAACAACGCAACGATCTGCCATGCAAAGACGGTTACGGCTACTGACTGAGATCATTTTTGATACTGACCAACCAGACCCGAACTATAACCACAATAAACCTTTTATAGAAGTAGGATGTTTTCTTCATGTGGTCGAGTGCGCCGAATAAATGGTTTCATTAAATGCGTGAACGAATAGACGTGTCGCTGTGTGTGACTGCTGAGTAGAGTACTTCCGCCGGTAACTTCCTTTGTGCCTATATACGCGTTGAAGCTACGTGTGGATAATGGCCAAAAACAATATGATAGCACTGCACGATGCATAGCTTTCTGATTTGATAACTGTACGCATGTATATTTATAATCATCACAAAATAACAATACCAAATTCAATTAGGATTAAGCAGCGATGGAATCTTCGAATCAGAACAGAATGTAGCTTATTTCAACAATGTGTTCAATGCTTTAGAACCAATTAATCCCCGGGACAGACCTCGCGGTGTCAAAGATGCTCATGAAGCTAGCCGCGGACAGCATTCTGCTAAGCAGGATCATTATCAGTAAGAAACTTGAGGAACTCTGATTTGCGGACGAAAAGGATCCAACCCTGCTTGTGTTTGCCGAGAGAGAATATTTCTACGATACATTACATTCATTGTTTCAGCATTATAAAGCATTTAGTATAAAGAAACCATAATAGAATTGGCGTCTCCGCACACAAAGGTGTGCGTGATTCGGTGAGATTGTCAAGCTGCGTGCTTTTACAGGAAGCATCGCTGCTACCGCAGAACAGCATGGTGACCACGATATTTTGGTGCTTTCGTATCTGAAAAGAGGGATAGTTACCAAATAGAGGCCGAAGTTTGGAAATTGCTTGGAGTTGAACACGAAGTCAATTTATGTGCATACTAGACAATAAAGAAGCAAATACTTGTGGCACCCACCACGAAAACACAGTGAAGCGGACTAAAGCTTTTACGTAGTAGGCCAATGATAAGTATTATTTCTAACTAATCGTACTGAGCGCAAGTGTAGCTCCTAGTCGGACGTTAGTTCAAGAAGGATACATTAAATATTGGTATTGTAATTATTGTTTGGTTGTTAACGGATATTGTGTGCTAGTCTGGTTGCCTTTGTCGTTGTATCTCGTTCTGTCACGCCAGCGTCTGCACGCTGTTCGTTGTTAAGAGTGTCGTCAATTTCAACGCGAGAATGACTAGCGTTCAACGGAACATGAAGGTATGTATGAATATGCCGCATCTATGTAGCTATACGATAGCTAGCTATAGTGCAGATATCTATGCAGGATTCCCTATTAATATACAGTAGGCCTACATGTAAGTCATATAACAAATAGAAGATCAGGTTGTATCATCCTGTTTTAAGGGAATATGTCTTGTTAGTGCCGAGCGTCCATGTCGTCGCGCATGCACTCCACCGATGAATGAAGCACGCGCATACTTAATGCACGCAAATGTCAGAATCTGTCGCTAGAGTAAAAAGCGCTAGCTATTGAAATTCACTGCAGTTATTTATCATATCGATGTTTAAAACGTGCCTTTATAGATCAAAAGCAAGCTTCGTTACTTTCTGGAACAAAATTAGAAAGGACAACCTCTGGGACAAGGATTATTAGGGATAGCTCCTTATCCTATTATTCTCTCATTTTACGTCAGTTCTCAAGTGCAACACTGAGCAAAGCAATATGTATGAGTGTTTGATCTAAGCGAACATTATTAATATTATACACTTGTTATTTGTAGGAGCCTTACCTCCTACGCATACTGAATGAAGCTAATGTAAAATAACGACGACATGCTTCTTTTTCTGACGCTGTGAAATCGAATGAACCAAACATGGAGACGTAGAAATTTGTCAATACAATCATATATCGTTTGCAGTAGCTCTGTTTCCTCTCACTACTATTGCCATTGTTTCTCTCTAGAGTATGATACATGCTCACTCAGCGCCCATGGCCGAGCAATTGGGATCACAGACGCGTTCGCACCTCACAGATGCCGTGCAATCAACTTGTATGTAATATTATTGAGTACTGTCACCGATAGTATATTATTCGATGACAACAGGAAGATCGAAGTACGATTTCTCTCTGGGCGCTCACGATCGGGTACAATTTCCGCCGGCGTCCCAATATAGTTTCTGCTAGCATATATACATACCACTGTTGTTATTTCTCATATGTTTGACATGCTATTATAAAATGCAGGACTTAATAGAAAAAAAAAAAAAAAAAAAAGACATATTCGGTTAGCTCTAATCGCTTGTTTGACGTCAAAGTCAATATTGAAACAAACCAGAATATCTAATTATAGTTCCTTTGGTCTACGTGAGTCTGCTATCGCTTCCAGGCGTATTTACAATGAACCTTTTTATGATTTGTGGGAGAATATGTCATGTGTGATAGGGTCTACGGTTCAGTTGTTTCGGTGCTTCGTCTTCGATGTGTATAGATCATAAAGTTGAAGCGAACGAATGTTTACTTAAAGCTCTCAACGTATAATTAACTAAGAACTTTTTCACATGTTTAGGTCTTTTACTTTCAATTTAAGTATGCACCATTATTATCTACAATTTTCTACCGCTTGAATAATAAATGATTTGCCACGTTGCCGTTCAACTCTATGGTACAAATGTCTACGAAGTCTTCTGTCGGGATTCAAACATCATGTTGAAATTTAAATAATTTCCCGTTTGAGAAGTTATTGAAATTTAAAAACAGTAGTAATATGTTTCGATAACTCCTGCATTGTTGCTACCGCGATTCTTGCGGTGTGAGATTAAACGTTGTTGTACAAAACGAGTGGTTTGCGTCTGTTTATCCTCCGGTAGAATTCTTTCCGTCATTGCCTTTAATTGTTAAAAGTAGACTTCAGCCGTACACTAAGATGTAGTTGGTAATCAGACGTACAGGAGAAACTTTTTTTAGATATGTTGCCGGTTCGGTCACATCCTTCAACTAATGCGACATTCTACGATTATTGTAGACATTCATTTGTTCATTTGACCGAGGTGAAAAAGTATGGTATTTTCTGTGACCTGTGTATTAACGCCCGTAAACTCTGACACAATGTTTAATTTGTCATGATTTCAAGTTTAAAGTTGCCTTCCGTGATCTATTTCGATCAAACTCTGAATTTTCGGATTCGCTATGGTTCATTACGGTTCGCCTACTTAGAGCTCGACTAACGACATTCGAGCAGACGACCTCAGATTTCAGAAGACGAATGCAGTTTGAAAAAGGTATTGCAAAAATATCGCACTGTTATGAAATAGTGTCACCTTGAAATACGGAATTTATATATTATATCCAGTACGAGACAAACCAAATTTTAATCTCATATTTCAAGATGACGCTACATATATATATATATATATATATATATATATATATATATATATACAATGTTCGCCAAAATTTTGATATATTAGGAGCCGAAAAAGAAGAACTCAGGCCTCAACAGAACTGGGCTTTCTTGCTCTTTACTATTAAGCGGCAGAATCATCGTGGTTTATCTTTCTCTTGATGGTATTTAGTGTTTACTGTTAATCTCGCCTCGATATTTTTTCTTCAATAAAATAAAAGTATATTCATCTACAATTTCAACCGCTTTATCCCTTTTTTTTCCTGTTCATTATCTAGTTTTATATTGATATTGTGAACTGATATAGACATAAATATGAATGTTTATACTAGACCATATAGTGAACTTGCCCGATAGACGAGCACACACAGTTATTTCTAAGTATGACAAGGTCCACAACACCACAATTTAAGCGTGCTCGCTAATTTTGAGGTGCTTACTGCCTTGCATAATAAGTTTTACCTTCCCTCAAACGATGCTCGCTTGGTTCAGAAAAACATGCTTCGTTAGCCTATTAAAGCCTCAAGGGACGCTCATATAGTCTACATATAAGCACGCATCATTAGATTAGACAGGCACCATAAATGACTATTCATTTGCATTGTTGATGTACTTCATGTGATTGCGGCGCATCGCGTAATTTAAGCCTGTATTGACACGAATAGCACGTCCCGAAGTAAGCTGAGGTCAGCGATACGGTAGCGTGAACACCCTGTATCGATCGAGATATGGGACGGACCCACGCACGTCAGGAGGCCTATCGCCGTTGTGATTCAAAGATTTCAGCTAGTGGTGTTGTATGTGAAACTCACGACGATTCTGCTCGAGTACCCTGCACTCTTCTTTCCGCATAACATTACCAAGGGCTTTAAGCAGATTCACTGATCCATACCGGGGCCGGCTGGGTGGCTGAGGGCAATGAGGTACCTACCTGTCGTATCGACAGCCTGAGTTTATAACCAGCGTTATCGTTTGCGATGTCAAATTGAGAAAAGAGAGGCCGAAAGATATAATGTTATAACTGTTACAAGTTAACGCGGCTGATTTTGAAATTGAATAACACACGCCGCTAGCAGACGAACTTTGGCTGGTGAATGCTCCAGTTTTCTAGAAACTTACAAGTGGAAAACACTGCGGAAACTCATAGAAGACAGGTGAAGATATAAAGCAAGCAATCCTTAAGCCAAGGCATCCTACGCGAACGATGCAAACGTTTCAAAAACAGAGACTGGGGTGCTGATGATTAGCGAGGAAGTAACCAGATGTCGAGACCCGCAAAATAAGAACACACTACCGCTTTTCACCTATAGTCTAAAGGACTTGTTCGCCAAAACTTGCATTTCGTACGTTCCATGTGACAGAATGATAACCCCAGTACTGAGAATGCGAAAAATGAATAAAAAATAGGTCGCCGTGTATTGGTTCTAATTTAATTAGAAATGCATGGAATGTATTTTGTGTGCGATTGTGGAGCATACGGTCGCTCAAGATGAGCTTAGCCAGAGAAAAAGCAGACTAGACAATGGCGTCGGCCTGAAAAGAAATCGAATTTGAGTAATTTCGAACATAAGATGATGACAGGATATGCTTATACATCTTCATATTACACCAAGTACCATTTATGCTGATAGTATAATTCAGCTCTCTCGGTGTATAAGTCTTGTTATACGATAAATCATAGTCAAGTACAGCTCACCTACTACTTCTCGTCGCTCACCGGCAAGCAAACGTAGCTTATAAGGTTGCAAACTTAAATGAACTAGTCCTTTGGAAGTACTATGATTCAAAGTGCTCTCTTGATCCGTTTATTATGTATATATGTTACTACGGGTGCTACTCATAATTTGCACTGTCAACGTAAATTTTCACAAGTGTATATATATACGTTCCTACCTTTAGCTCTTTGGTAACAATGACGAAATAACGACAAGTAATACACTGCGCATTTCTAGCTTTCTTCTTCGGGCAACGAACTGCTGTTTGTCTACTCAGTTAGATGAAAAGACGGCGTCCTTTACGCGCGTGGCCACGTATACACACGCACAGTTTAGCCGAGCAGAACGGCAGCAACGTTATCGTCTATTACCGTTCTGAATTCACTTGGTCGAATCCCAGCAGTAGCTGTCCAAATGGGGCAGGTCAGAAAACACCACTATTAAAGTTTTTGCAGATCAGATCCACTTTGTCGACGTGGTTCGATGATGAGTTTTTATGCCTACTGAGGAAAACATTAGATAATAGTGCTGCTTACGCTGATGGTGACGGTGGTGACTGTTCAAATTTCCCCGAGAACCCCCACTGCAATTGCCGTTTCTGCTGGTTCTTACTAAAAACCCTGTTGATGGTGGCAGATAATCTTCATCCAGTAGTTTTGCTTGGTATCCTTCGACATTTGTAAAGCACACCGCATCAGAATGCTATACGGTCGCGTTAACCACAGCAGAGTAGTTACAACGTTGTGGCAGTCGAATATAGCGCGTTTTTCCATTTGGCAAATACCACAAATGTGCCGGCTTCAGGCCGTAATTAGAATAGCCTACTACCACTACTTTCAGGAGGCGAAATGTGGTGCCAGAGTCTCGCTATGACCCGAAGTACTGAATCACAAGACGCCAATAGCGGAAGCTCATAGTATCGTATCGATTAGTCTTAATTAGTCGGAAAGACATTCTAAAAGAGTTCTATCAATATCGCATACATTGTGCGATAATGATAATATATTTACGATGATCCGAACCGAAAACGTTGTGCGGTGCATATCTGTTAACTGGGTGGTCGGTGCTGCTGTAGACGTCCTATTTTTATTGTTTATTATTATTATTATTAGCCAGTTCTGACGTGTTCTTGCTGCCCAAA